CCCCCCCCCCCAGTCTCTTCCTCCCTCCTCCAGCAACCAAAGGCTCTGGGGCAGAGCGGTGGCCGTCACCAGTGATGAGCCCAGCGCCAGCCCTGCTGTTACTGTAGTTTAATTGGAAGCTGCTTGTCCAAAGCGTGGGGTTATTGGGGGGCAGCAGGGTCCCTCCATGGGCCCCAGAGCCCTTCCCAGCAGCCGGGATTCCTCGGCAAAACACCAGTTCATTAAGGCTGGGGTGGGGCAGGGGAGAGTGGGGGGAGATTGGGGCCCGAGTCCTGGGTGTGGGGCTCTGCCTGGCCACAGCCGTGGCATCGCATCCCCATCCCATCTCCATCCTCATCTCCTTCCCCATCCATCTGTCCCCATCTCCTTCCCCATCCCATCCCCATCCCATCCCCTCCCAATCTCCATCCCCTCCGTCTGTCCCCATCCCCATTCCATCTCTTCCTACACACACGGGTGGGGGCTGCCAGGCTCTCTCTGTTATCCTCCCCCCCAACCCACCTGCTGGGTCCCCACACAGGGTGACACCTCCCCTGCCCCAAATTCACCTCCCGGGGTCCCACAGCACAGAACCCCCTGCCCTCTCTAGGGGCACTGGGGCAGCTCCACGCCAGGCCCTGACCCCGCTGCCCCCCAGCACGGCCTCTGCCAGTCCCTGCGCCCCCAACTCCAGCCTGAAGCCCTTTGTTCTGCCCCCAGCCCCGGCCCCCGCAGCCCTCGGCTGTCCCCAGGCACCGCCATGACACCGAGCCGTGGCCGTGCTGCAGCGGGGACACACACCCCAGGGTCAGAGCCGTGCACACTAGTGTGACAGCCGTGCACACACCAACATTGTGCTAGAGCTGTGCACGCTGCAGCTGGGACAGGCATGTCACATTCATAGAACCACGGAATGGTTTGGGTGGGAAGGGACCTCAAAGACCATCCAGTGCCACCCCCTGCCCTGGGCAGGGACACCTCCCACCAGCCCAGGTTGCTCCAAGCCCCCTCCAACCTGCCCTTGAACCCCTCCAGGGATGGGGCAGCCACAGCTTCTCAGGCCAACCTGGGCCAGGCTCTCACCACCCTCACACCAAAGAACTTCTGCCCCACATCTCAGCTCAATCTCCCCTCTTTCAGCTTCAAACCCTTCCTCCTCGTCCTGTTGCCCCCCTCCCTGATCCAGAGTCCCCCCCAGCTTTCCTGCAGCCCCTTGAGGGACTGGAAGGGGCTCCAAGGTCTCTACGGAGCCTTCTCTTCTCCAGGCTGAACCCCCCCAACTCTCTCAGCCCCCGCTCCCAGCAGAGGGGCTCCAGCCCTCCCAGCATCTCCGGGGCCTCCTCTGGACCTGTTCAGACAGATGTCAGAGCTGTGCACGCTGTGTCACGGCCCTGCACACCACAGCGGGGACACGCATCCCGTGTCAGAGTCATCCCACCCGTACTGCCACGCTGTGACAATCCTGGCTACAGACACACTCTCTCTCACGGACAGACAGACAGACAGACAGGGGTCCCCGGGGTTACTGCTCTGAATCTGCTGAGAAACCGGCCGGTGGTCCATGGACTTGGGGGTCCCATGCTCTGGGGCTGAGGCCTCTGCACGGGGCTGCTACATGGGTTAGGTCAGTGTGAGTGCCCTCCCTGCAGCGATGAGTACCATTAGCCGTGTTTAAAAGGTGGGGAAACTGAGGCACGGGGCTGCAGAGGGACCAGGGCGGGAGGGGGACACACCCCCCCTCATCTTATGACACCCCACAGCAGGACCCAGGCATCTGAGCCACACTTGGAGGGTGGGAGAGATCTGGGGGTGCACAGCCCCTGCAGCCCGGCCACTTGTTCCCCCTTGTCATTGGTCCCTCCAGCACCCGGCATCGCTGGGGACACTCGGGGGGACACTTGGGGGGACACCGGAGCTGCCAGGTGCGTGGGGCAAGGCCGCGGTGAAGGCGCCGATGATGGCAGCGTTGCCCAAAATGGCCAGTCCTGCAGTGCCAAAGGTGCCGGGGAGCCCCGGGATGGGCAGGTGGCCCCGCAGCCAGCCCCGGCGCGAGCGCGCGTCGCAGAGAACGGCCTCCAGCTGGAAGTGGGTGCCCAGCACCGCGCAGACGTGGAAGAGCTGGTGGCTGTGTCCTGCCCAGGGCCAGAAGCCAACATCACCCCTGGGTGCCAGGGCTCCTCACCCAGCTTTGGGGGGCAGGGGACTGGAGCCCTGGCACTGGGAAGCACTGGGGGGCACTGGGAGGCCACTGCTCACCGATGTAGTCGAAGCGGCCGGGCGCCAGGCGCTCGGGGAGGTGGGAGGTGAAGAGGAAGGCGGTGAGAAGCGCGAAGAGGAGGTGGTAGCAGTAACCGGCCACGGCGTCACTCCAGGGGCTGTTACTCCAGAAGCAGAAGAGGAGCTGTGTGGGGAGGGAGGGGGTGAGCAACTGTGGGGGGGGAGACGACACACAAACACCCCTGGGACCCCCATGGTGGTGGCACCCACCCCCTGACACCCGCCTCACCCGGCAGAAGAGCGGGATGTTGTCGTAGAGGAAGGGGTAGACGAAAGCTGCCGTCCGCAGCACCTTGCTCAGGCGGGGACGCTCCAGCTCAGGGAACCTGCGAAGAGGGAACGGGGCCGGGGGGGGGACACACACAGAGATCCCTATTGGCCCCCACAGCCAGGACCCTGCAAGCTCCTTGGCTCTGGGCCTGAGCAGGGACACCCCCACCCCCCCGAGATGCTCCGTGGGACCCGAGAGTTGGGAAGGAGGAATCCTCCAGCCCCAGTTTCCCTCCAGCCACTTCACTGGAGCTTTTACCCCCCAACCCACCGGGAGTAGCAGGAGAGGCCGGTGCAGATGAAGGAGTTCAAAGCGGCCGCGGGGACAAAGTAACGGTGCCAAACGCCACCAACCCACTGGTCCGGCATCGCATAGGCCCCGTAGGCAAAAGCACAGCCTGGGAGAGAGATGCAGCATCAGGGGGCAGTGGCTGCCTGGCCTTGGCCCTGTTCCTGCCACCATCTCCAGTCTTTGTCCATATCCCCATCTCCATCCACTCCTCATCCCCATCCCCACACCTCCATCCCTTCCTCATCCCCATCCTGTCCCCATCCCCATACCTCCATCCCTTCCTCATCCCCATCCTGTCCCCATCCCCATACCTCCATCCCTTCCTCATCCCCATCCCCACACCTCCAGCCTTTCCTCATCCCCATCCTGTCCCCATCCCCGTTCTGTCCCCATGTCCACACCTGTCTCTCTCTCCTGATGCCCATGTCCATCCTTCCGACATTCCCAGCCTTGTCCCCGTCCCCAGCCCCGTCCCCAGCCCCGTGCCGGTCCCTCAGGGCGGCTCACCCAGGCTGTAGAGGCTGAGGGCCCCGTAGTCGCAGAAGTAGCAGAGGTGTCGGGCGCGGGCCGACATGGAGCTGAAGGTGTGGGCACAGCTGGAGGCAAAGGGGTAGAGGCAGACGAGCAGCAGGTAGATGAGCAGGGGCCAGTGGTAGGGATCCCGGCACAGGGCCAGGGAGGAGGAGAGCACCAGGAAGCGCCACACGAAATACCTGCGGGCGCAGGAGCTACTGGGTGAGCTCCAGCCCCATCCCTGTCCTCATCCACATCTCCAGCATTTCTTTGTCCTCATTCTCAATTCCGCCACCTCCTCATCCCCACGCTTGTCCCCATCCCTGTCCCCATCTCCACACCTCCATCCCCATCTCATCCCCATCCCCACACCTGTCTCTGTCCCCATTCCCATCTCCATCCTTCCATCAGTCCCATCCTTGTCCCTGTCCCCACACCCAGCTCCATCCCAACCCATCTCTATCCTGTATCCCTGCGGCCATTCCTATCCACGGCCTCATCTCTGTCCCCATCCCCACCAGGTCGGCAGGAAGTGTGTCCAGATGTTGACTGTCTCGTTAGTCATCTGGAAGGAGCTGAGGACGCAGTCGAGGGCTGAGCTCTTGGGGTGCCGGTACCCTGACATGATCCCATCCTCCCAGAAGATCTGTGGGGACAGCGGGGCTGGTCAGGGGACACTCTGGGGGGAGTGGGGCAGCCCCAGAGAGCTGCTCTGGTCTTGTGATGGGTGGGGAAACTGAGGCAGGATGGGCTGGGAGTGTCCCACCAGCCAGAGGAAGGTCGGGTGAGGAGACCAGGTGATTTTTCCACCTTGGATGAGGGAAGTGGGGGGAGGAACCTGGGGGCAGAGCCCCACCATCACCCGGCCACACATACCCGAGGCACCTGATGGACCCTGAAGATCTGCGGCAGCTTTATGGTCAGCATGGTGGGGCCGAGGTGCTTGGGGCTAGAGGTGTCGGGGTGCTGGGCCACAGCCCATGTCCTGTGGAGATGGGATGGAGCCGCTGGGTGACGGGGCTGGGGGTGCAGGAGCCAGGACAGCCGCCCCCTGGCTCGGGTCAACAGCTTCTCCCAGGGATGCCACCAGCAAAGCCTGCTCTCCTTTCGCCTCTTCCAGACGAGCCGCAGCAGGAGGAGGGGGTGTCTAAGCAGGATCAGGCCCCCCCCGGGATGGGGGCCGTGGGTGGGGGCTGGCAGTGAAGAGCCAGATCCTGCCCTTGGCCCCTGCCCCACCTCATCCCCCTCCCCGTGGAGGCTCCTGACCCGATTTACCTGCTCTGGGGATGTCCCTGGGGAGACCACCACGGAGCAGGAAAAGCCCCATGAAGGACACCCTGAACCCCCCCTCCGCTCCCCCCCCGCGGATTTACACAGGGA